CCTTTTACAGAAACTCTGGGTGGTCTGGATACTATTGTCAAGATCCCTCCACACTTGCTGAGGTAAGAAATGGAAGTTGTATGATTTAACAGAAGTCAAAATTACCTACCATGTTTTTCTAAAGGCTCAGACAGCCTTGTTGGCTTACAGCATCTCTTAGTCCATTTTGTGCTCAGGAATACCTCAGACTGAGTTATTTATTTATTTATTTTTTAGTTGGGGTCTCACTGTGTCTCCCAGGCTGGAGTGTAGTGACATATTCACAGCCACTGCAGCCTCAACTTCATGGGTTCAGGGATCCTTCCACTTCAGCCTTCTAAGTAGCTGGAACTACAGTCACATGCCACCATGCCCAGCTAAATTTTGGATTTATTGTAGAGAAAATGTCTTGCCAAGTTGTGCAGGCTGATCTCGAAACCCTGGGCTCAGGCAATCCTCTTGCCTCCACCTCCCAAAGTCCTGGGATTACAACCATAGAGCACTGTACCCGGCAGACTGGATAATTCATAATGTACAGAAATGTATTGGCTCATGATTCTGGAAACCGAGAAGTCCAAGATTGAGGGGCTGCGTCTAGTGGGGGCCTTCTTGCTATATGATCCCATGGTGGAAAGGCAAAAAGAAGGCAAGACAGAAAAGAGAGAAGGGGACTGAATTTGCTCTTTTTTTGTTTGTTTGTTTATTTATTTTTTTTTTTTGAGTTGGAGTCTCACTCTGTCACCCAGACTGGAGTGCAGTGGCCGCTTCCAGCCACCGCAGCCTCGACCTGCTGGGCTCCGGCGATCCTTCCTCCTCAGCCTTCCGAGTAGCCGGAATTACAGGCATGCACTACCATACCCGGCTGATTTTTTGATTTATTGTAGTGATGAGGTCTCGCTGCCCAGGCGGGTCTCGAACCCGCGGGCTCAGGCAATCCACTCACCTCAGCCTCCCAAAGGCGCGGGATTACAGGCTGAGCCACCGAACTTGAATTTGCTCTTTTATAATGAAGATTGCTCCTGTGGCAATAGCATTAATCCATTGTATAGGGACAGAATACTCAAATTCTAATCATCTCTGCTTAGGCCTCACCTCTTAACACTGTTGCATGAGGATTAAGTTCCCAACACATGCTTTTTGGGGGATGCATTCATTATAGCATAGCATTTTACTGCTGATGGCTTTTTTGCATCCATGAGTTGGGTTATTTTATGAGATTAGCATGACAGGAACCTGATTGCCTTGGCTGCACTTGTACATGAAGTGAGTGAAGTCAGTGATCTAAAGGAACCGGCCATGGAAGTCAATGATAAACAGATCAAATCACTGGATGTGGGGACTATAATCCCAGCACTTTGGGAGGCTGAGATGAGAGGACCGCCTGAGCCCAGGGGTTTGAGACCAACCTGGGCAACTTGGCAAGACCTCGTCTCTACAATAAATCAAAAAATTAGCCAGGCGTGGTGGTGTGCACCTGTAGTTCCAGCTACTTAGAAGGCAGAGGCAGAAGGATCACCTGAGCTCAGTAGGTCGAGACTGCGGTGGCCGTGAGCGTGCCACTGCACTCCAGCCTGGGCAACAGAGTGAGACTCTGACTCAAACAAACAAAAAGCAGATCAAATTGGTCAAGGAGAGACATGACCAAATCTTATGAGAAAGAGTAGAAAGTGGATAATATCTTCCACTGTGAATTAGAAAATTACATCCCCTTTGGGAGGGGTGGATACAGCCTTGTACCAGGGGGGTGGATTTAAGCATGCCCTGGCAACCCTGGCTAGATACCATTTGGCTGGTCACAAACCCTGCACCACATGCAGCAGCCCTGGGACAGTAGGAAGCAAGCAGCCTTATCTTCTTTACTTCCCCCTGTACCTGTTTCCCTCACTGGGAGAGCAATACTTGCCTGGCTCAGTGGCTTAGCCTGTGATCTCGCGCCTTTGGGAGGCTGAGGTGAATGAATTGCCTGAGCCTGCGGGTTCGAGACCTGCCTGGGCGGCGAGACCTCATCTCTACAGTAAATCAAAAAAAAAATTAGCTGGGTGTGGTAGCGCGCGCCTGTAGTTCCAGCTACTTGGAAGGCTGAGGCGGAAGGATCGCCGGAGCCCAGCAGGTCGAGGCTGCGGTGGCCGGGAGCGGCCACTGCACTCCAGTCTGGGCGAGACTCCAACTCAAAAAAAAAAAAAGGGAGAGCAATACTTGCCCTTTGTGGAAAATTTGAAAGAAGCAAAAAAACAAAAAAGAAAACTGTCCATGATTACACCACCTAAGAATAATTACTAAAAACATTCTAATAGATTTTTTTAACAGTCTTTCTTCCACACATATATATTTTTACAAATTAATACAAAATTTTATTTACAACTTTGTTTCCTGATTTTTTTTTTTTTTTTTGAGTTGGAGTCTCACTCTGTTGCCCAGACTGGAGTGCAGCGGCCGCTCCCAGCCACCGCAGCCTCTTCTGCTGGGCTCCGGTGATCCTTCCACTTCAGCCTTCCGAGTAGCCGGAATTACAGGCATGCGCTACCACGCCCGGCTGATTTTTTGATTTATTGTAGAGATGAGGTCTTGCTATCCAGGCAGGTCTCGAACCCGCAGGCTCAGGCAATCCACTCTCCTCAGCCTCCCAAAGGCGCAGGATTACAGGCTGAGCCACTGAGCCCGGCTTGTTTCCTGATCTTTTTTAACTCAACACCATATGAAGAACATTTTCTAATGCCAATATATGTTTTCAAGTTAAAATATTGCATATCTTTCCATTATAAGCTTGTAGCATAATTTATTTTGTAATTTTCCTGTTATTAAGCATTTGGATTATTTCCAGATTTTTCTCTGAGATTATTAAAAATATTGAATGTGCAGTCTTATGTTGAGTATGGTTTCTAAATTATCAGGACACTGTGATTTATTAGGTATTTTCTCTCTTTTAAAGTAGATTGAACAAAAATTTTGTTTCTGTTTTTTTTAAAAAAATTCATTACTTCTACAGTAGCTGCTACTGGCTTACATATTATAAGGGAATGCATATGCTGATAGAACTGAGTGCACTTTTGTGTGTACAAGGTTTATACAATGGACAGAATGTCTGGCAACATGTTTATCTAGTAGAGAGGAGTTCCAGCTGGGGCGTCCAGTGCACAGGACAATGTGAGGACTTTCTAAGATCTGTGAAGGCATGGATAGTTTAACAGAGTCAATTTTCTGGTCCCCAACTTCTATCAGTTCCCTTTCTTTTTCTTTCTTTTTTTTTTTTGAGTTGGAATCTCATTCTGTTGCCCAGACTGGCATGCAGTGGCACACTCATGGCCACTGCAGCCTCGACCTGCTGGGCCCAGGTGATCCTTCTACCTCAGCTTTCCAAGTAGCTGGAACTACAGGCATGCACCACCATGCCTGGCTAATTTTTTTTTTATTTATTGTAGAGATGAGGTCTCACCAAGATGCTCAGGCTGGTCTCGAACCTGTGAGCTCAGGCAATCCTCTCACCTTGGCCTCCCAAAGTGCTGGGATTATAGGCTTGAGCCATTGCGCCCGGCCAGTTCCCTTTCTTAAAGTGGATTTACTTTAAACGAACTTTGCCACCTCTCCTTTTCTACCTCACCTCTTTCTGTCAATCTTTTCCCACTTGACAAAGAAAAACCATGGCTGTTGCCCATCCTGCATCTTACTGTGACATTTTGGCCTGGGGTGCAAACTTTTTGCAAAGGATCGTGAAAATGTTGGTATCCATGTTGGTAAAGGTAATGATTGTAAGGACCAGGAAACACATCTTTTTTGCAGGTTGGGTAGTTTTGACTTCTCTGCTTTCAGCAAATAGTAATAAGATTATAGACAAAAAGATTTTTTGATAGTAAGTCTCCTTCATTCCCTTATTATTTATGGAGCAAGGTTTCTTACTGTTTATAGTTATAAGAGTGAAAAAGAAGCTGGGTGCAGTGACTTATGCCTCTAATCTCAGCACTTTGGGAGGTAGAGGCGAAAGGATTGCCTGAGCCCAGGGGTTCGAGACCAGCCTGGGCAATATGGTGAGACCTCATCTCTACAATAAATCAAAAAATGAGCTGGGCACGGTGGTACATGCCTATATTCCAGCTACTTGGAAGGCTGAGGTGGAAGGACTGCTGAGCCCATGAGGTCGAGGCTGTGGTGGCTGTGAGCATGTCACTGCACTCAGCCTGGGCAACAGAGTGAGACTCCAACTCAAAAAAAAAGAAAGAAAGAAAAAGAAAAGATGTGGAATTGGTGCTAAGCCCTACCTTATTTTACAGCAATAGATAATACTCATCCATAACTGTATGAACTAATTACAGGGAAAAATAAACAAGCTCTATTCATTTCTTTAGAAATGCATTTCCAATAAAATTGTATTAGGCGTATTAACCATATTAACATTCTGATAATTATTAATGTTCTTTGGATCGATCATGTACATTAGTAATGATAGCTTAAAGTAGAAAAAATTGAACCATTTTAAGCCTTATGGTCACAGGAAAATTTTTAAAAATTACTGTATACATATTTTGTTACAGAGAAGTATAATAGGGAGATTAATAAAAACCTTTCAAACATTAAAATATATTAATAGGAAGTTCTTTGGGGGAAGTATAATGAAAATATGAGTTCAAGGAGAAAAGAGACCAATGAGGCATTTTCTACTGTTAAAAAAAGAGCTTGTTCATCTATTTTTTTTAATTAATGAAAGTGATTTTCAAATTGCTGTGGTATTCAGGAGATACATTCAGAGTGATATCTTTTGATCAAAATTTTTAATAATTTCAGCATGCCAGAATCATGACCTTTGCAATTAATTAAAATGATGAAGAAAAAAATGTAAATGCTAAAAATATGTGAAAAAGGATTTTTAAAATTTCCTTTGTTGACTCTACAAACAAAAAAGCTTGATAAACTCTGCTCTGAAGGTTGTTTCCCCATGCAAAGTGTCGTTTAACCTGACAGCGAGGCCTTCTGTGGTTCTGGGTTTGTGGTAAAAGGTCTCCTTCGGTGTGAGGGGCTACAGGGTGACCATGGTGTTAAAAGACGTTTCTGGTCCACTGGCTGTGGATGTTCAAAAGGCAGCTGCTGTTTTCCAGCTCTTGGTGTCTATGTGTATGTATCTAGCTGGTGAGTTGGAGAGAACACAGTTTTAATGGGCCTTAGGACCATACTTTCAGTCCTTTTTTTTGCCATTTGGCTTCACTTTACCCCAGAACCAGCTGACCATCTTGTGCACCGATAGGAGGTGTTCACAAAATTGGTGAATGGGGTGCTGTATGAGAGACTATGGAGGAATATACCTATATGTGTGTGTCTTTGCTTATCTTCACCATTATTGCAAATACAATTCAGAGTGTTTATCCTAATGATGGAGAGCCAGTGACATCATCTTTGTATCCAATGAATGGGCCTTATTGTATTTCAGGTGCACAATGAGAGCTATCAGGCATTCTTGTACCGGGAACTAAAACATATGAACCAGACATAGCAGATGTAAGCCTTGCACTCAAAGGTTTTTTATTCTGAAGAAAGAGAATGAAGATGTACAAAACTGGAAAACACTGCTATGTGATAGCAAATGTGAATTTATTGTAGACTTTTGTGTGTATAAGGAGGTTTCAATTTGACCATGATTCACAGTAGTGGGGAGACTTTCAAAGCTCTTTGATGATATAGGAAGAAGCCATAATTAGAGTGAAAAACAGCTGTTGAATCAGTGATGGTCTGATGTACTATTTCATGTTATTATCAGGGAAGTGATATAAAGAGGAGGTATACAGCGATGGGCTTTGCCCTGGGTTGTGAATCAGTCCTCCTTTAATCCTTTGATTTATCTTCCAGGCACTTTAAACCTCAAGAGCACTTATCCTGTTAAGTCACTGTGTTTAACATGGCATCCTTTTATTTGTGAGTCTGCTCAAAAAATCTAGGCACTGTAAATATTTGTCTGCTCATGGAGAGAATTTGATATGTTAATTGTTCTCTCTTCAATTATGCTTATACTTAACATATGGGAAAGAAACCAAGTTTATAAACTACCTCTTGCCTTCTCCTGATTTTTTATTCAGCTTTAGTTTTTATTTCTGTTACATAATTATCTGGAAGTGATTATTTGCAGATTGTTTGTTTTTTTTTGAGTTGGAGTCTCACTCTGTCGTCCAGGCATGCTCATGGCCACCACAGCCTCACCCTCTTGGGTTCAGGCAATCTTTCCGCTTCAGCCTTCCAAGTAGCTGGGACTATAGGCTTGCGACACCACGCCCCACTAATTTTTTTTTTTTTTGATTGTAGAGACGAGGTCTTGCTGTGTTGCCTAGGCTGGTCTCCAGCTTGTGGGCTCAGACAATTCTCTCGTCTCTGCCTCCCAAAGTGCTAGATTTACAGGCATGAGCCACCACTCCCAGCTGCAGATTTTTTTTTTTTGAGTTGAAGTTTCACTCTGTTGCCCAGGCTGGAGTGCCGTGGCACGCTCTCGGCCACCCCAGCGTCGACCTGCTGGGCTCCGGTGAGCCTTCCACCTCAGCCTTGCAAGTAGCCGAACTACAGGTGTGCGCTACCATGTCTGGCTAATTTTTTATTTTATTGTAGAGATGAGGTCTCACCAAGTTGCCCAGGCTGGTCTCGAACCTGTGGGCTCAGGCAGTCTACTCGCCTCGGCCTCTCAAAGTGCTGGAATTACAGGCTGAACCACCAAACCCAGCCCATGTTTTTAATTTTTGTTTGCTTTGTAGAGGGCTACAGGGATCATTCAAAATCCTGGCTACTTTTACTGTGCTTTTTCCTACTTTTTCTTTTGCCATTGATTTGTTACTTTCATGTTAAATCTATTACCATTCTGATAAATAATTACTAATATTGTTTTGGTCAGTTGTGTACATTTGTAGTGGTGGCTCAAATCAGAAGAAACCTTTAAAGAACTATGTTGAAATTGAACCCTTGAGAGACCTATATTATATTTCTCCCCCCCCCCCTTTGCAATTGTTCTAAGGCCTTGTACAAACCCAAGTCCAAATATCACATAAATGATTTAAGTGACTGGTGACTGGATTCAGTTTTGCATAGGGCATTCTAGACAAGATACTGATGATAAAACACGTTAGGTGGAATTAAGGCGTGGTCAGGAGGCACTGCTTGTGTCCAAGGATCTGCCACTGAGGAGATGCTCTCCTCGTTGGTGTGAGCAGAGAGGGTAGGAATTCATGCAGAGCCCATTGAGATTCCATGTCAGGAATGGGGGAAGGCTCTGGAAACCTGTCCTATGGAGTATTTCCTGAATGTGTTAGTAGATAGCCGTGTGAAAATCTTTTCACCTTCCTGCCCTTAGTCTTGCTGTTGATTTTGGGGTGAATTTTAAGGATCCTTATTTTCCTCTTTGAGGAGCCTATACCCTCACTGTCTATGTTTTCTGTTTCCTTCTTCTTTTTTTTTTTCCTTTTTAAAATTTAATTTAATTTCTGAGTTGGAGTCTCTCTCTGTTTCCCAGGCTATGGTGCAGTGGCATACTACTGGCCACTGTAGCCTCAACTTGCTGGGCTCAGGTTATCCTTCACCTCAGTCTTTCAAGTAGCTGCAGGCATGCGCCACCAAGTCCGGCTAATTTTTTTATTTACTGTGGAGAGAGGTCTCGCCAAGTTGCCGAGGACCTCAGGCAATCCTCTCGACTTCGCTTCCCAAAGTGCTGGGATTATAGGTGTGAGCCATTATGTTCAGATTCTTTTTTCTTTTCTTTTCTTTTTTGAGTAGGAGATTTTTTGTTGCTTTTGTTTTAGTTGAGGTCTCACTCTGTCATCCAGTGGCACAATCACAGCTGACTGCAGCCTTGGCTTCCTGGGCTTCAGGTGATCCTTCTGTATCAGCCTTCTGAAAAGCTGAGACTGCAGGTGTGTGCCACCACATTCAGCTAATTTTTTTGATTTTTTTTTTTTTTTTTTGTAGAGATAAAGTCTCGCTATGTTGCTCAGGTTGGTCTTGAACTCCAGGCCTCAAGTGATCCTAATACCTTGGCCTCCCAAAGTGTTGAGATTACAGGCATAAGCCATCCTTTTCCCTCTTCTTAAACTTCAAGATCTTCTTATATGTGTCTTTGCCAGGTTGAATAAACCTATGAGTTAGTGGGCTATCATGGTATTCCTATACTCAAGAGGCTATTGATAGTGCAGGCTATGCCTTAGATTAAGGTCACCATCTTCATGGTTTTTTTTTTGTTTTTTTTTTTGCTTTGCAAGCAAAAATCCAATCCGATGTTCCCTATCAGTGACAGACTTGGTGAAATATCTTCGACCAGGTCAAGTTGCCACTCATAGTCATGGACTCCATCCTGGTTAGCCACTGGTTTTTCAGCCAAGTGGTAAGTAAAACCTGGAAGCTGCTATCCTGAGCAATCAGTAATTATCTTCATATAGTTAGGCTGCAATCACAAAATACTATGGACTGAGTAGCTTTTAATCAACAAATTTATTTCTTGCAGTTCTGGGGGCTGGGAAGTCCAAGATCGGGGTGCCCCTAGGATCCAGTTCTGGTGAGGGCCCCTTTCTGGGTTGCACACTGCCTATTTCTCCGTGTGTCTTCACATAGCAGAAGGGAAACAAGCTTTGTCAGGTATCTTATACAAGGGTTCTAATCCCATTCTTGAGGACCCATCTTTATGACCTAATCACCTCCCAATGGCCTTACCTTCTAATAGTATCACCTTAGGGTTTAGGATCTCAACAAATGAATTTTGAGGGGATGTAAACATTCAGACCATAGCAGTAGTTAATGACATTCACTGCTTTCTGTTCTCTGACAGTCTTCTGCTTTTCCCTGTCACCCTGTATATTTCCCTGCTTTTCCTCTGTGGCTTTGGGAATGAAGTGACAGAACCAAAATAATCAGGTCATTTTATGGAATTTTTAGGCCAGTTGTAGTTTTTATTGTGAATTTCCAGGGCTCGTGGCTGTGTTTTACCTAGCAGGGAGCACTAGACTTAAGCCCACCTAGAGGTGCCACAACTTCTGTAGTATTTAACTTCTTTCACATTACTATATCCCTCATCCTCCTCCTCATCCTTATGGTGGCTTGGTTATGCTGCTACCTACAGCTAGCTGATCCTCTTTATCTCTAAAAATTTGAAGAGGTTATACTTTCTCCAACCCTGTTTGTTAAAAGGAAAAGCGTTTATGCCTCTGCTGTGGATCATTGCTGTTTGCGATCACTGCTTCTTCCAGATCACTCTTGACCTGCTGGCCCATTTCCAGGGCAGGCTCTCTCCGGTCTAATGGACTCCTGCAGTGTTCTTCTGCCTCTGAACCTGGGCTGTGGACTGACATGCCCGGCCCTCTGTCTTCTCTAGTGGGTTTGAAACTCTAAATTCTGGTAGCAGTGGGTCTGGACACCCTAACATAGCTCTCTATAAATCTGTAACAAGAGGTCTTCTCCCCCCACATCAAGGCCCAGAGACCTGAAACTTTACCATCTCAGATGTCACAGCTGAGCTGGTTGGCTCTCTGACATTCTGCGCCTTCTTCCCTGTCAGGTTTCCAACCCAGGTTCACTCCCCTCAGGGCTGGGACCAGGGTGGGGCTGAGTTGTGCAAGTGCACAGCTGGATCCTGCCTTTATTTAAATATTTCATACTTTGCTCATCATGGATTTTTTAAAGATGTGGCACTAAAGGATTATTTCTCTTAGTTACTGAGATTTGTTTATCTTATTTATTTATTTTTTTTACTGCTTCCTTAAGTTTTGTGCCCAGCGCCAATGAGGAGAGATCCACCTTGTCCCAGGTCCTGCCCTGCCCTCCCATCCTTTTGGGAATGTCTCACAGCTGCTGGGGCCTTCCATATATTCCCTGTGAAGTTTTGTTCTTCCTCCTGGGCATTCTACAGACTGTGTTTTACTAAAGGGTTGGCTTCTTTCCTGCCCTGAGTGGAATCTCAGGGTATATGCCATCAGGGGAATAAGCTCTGTGCCATGTTCAAGGCCATGTTAACAAGTCCCCCCTTGTAGGATATTTTCACACGTATATTAGAGTTGATGGAAGGCACTTTCCCGTCCCCACCACTCTTACGTCCATTTCTTAAGATGAAATACAACACACTTGTTATGGGCCCTCTTCCTTCCATATGCCAAAGCCAAGACCAGAACTAC